CTCAACAGGAATTTGACCTAGGATCTACGACACACAAGATTACACATCCAAGGTTACAGCACCTGATATTCCCAAGCGGTCACTTTAATAAGAATTCTCGAATGCGCAAGCCCATAGACATAATCTATACTGTTTTAAAAATAAAAATGGGGCGTTTATTTCAAATAGGACTACCTAGTATATAATAACTTTTAAAATAATTGAAAAATTTGCTGAAAAATAAATCTATCAATTCTTATATATATATATATATATATATATATATATATATATATTCAGGATAAAGGTGATAGAGAGAAAAAAATATAGATGAAATTTGCTAGATTGAAAAAATATCCTCCAAAAATATTCTTTCCAAAATTTTGAAACTAACAGCGTCTCTCGTTTCGTGCGCATGTGTAGTAGTGCCAACATCAACAAAGCCCAATCCGATGAAGTCCTAACGGATCAAATGTGCCACAAAAACTCTTTTCCAGATTTTCATACTATTTTCTCAAGGCTGTTTCTTTTATATATAAAATTATATGAAATTATATATCGTTATGTCATATCACACCGTCGACATGGAAAAACACAAAATCATAACGAAATAAAAGCTATCAACATCGGTCAACTTTTTACATTATTCGGACTATTGTCCTTAACTTTGTTGGAATTTGTTACAATGTTTCCGCCGTTGTATGCTCCACTATATTATATTATTGGTTCAGTTTGGCATTCAAGTCACCTGAAGAAGCGTACAACGGCCGAAATTTTGTAATAAATATGGCGACAAAGATGAGAACAATAGCCCGAATAATGTAAATAATATAAATAGTGACAGTTTCTTCTCTCGAACTTCTTCGCCTTGATAAATCAATTACAACTGTGGCAAGTTCAATACTTGCTGGGCGTTCCAAAGATGCAACCTTGTGCTATATCTAAACTATACTAATAAATTTTATTATATAATTAATTCAGGATTTCTCTATTTCTAAAAAAAATAGATGTTTTCTTATTTTAATTCATCCCGGATTTTATTTTAATATTTATAATTAATAGATAAGTTATATATATATATATATATATATATATATATATATATATATATATATATATATATATATATATCTGTCTATATATCTGTCTATATTTCTGAGATGAGGCATTATGTACACTATTTACATTATTCGGACTATTGTCCTCATCTTTGTTGCCATATTTATTACAACGTTTCGGCCGTTGTACGCTGCGGCAATCTTCAGCTGGTTTGAATGGCGAACTTTATTTCGCTCGCTGGAGTAGACTGTACTAGTTCCACGTGCTATATTTAATGGATGTCAATTATCTCCTGTTAATTCACCTCTCCAAGTTCTCCACTGCCTTAACCAGGTATTGAACTCACAACTCTTTGGGTCCGGTTACTGGATCTAACCAACACCTTTATCCACTGTGTCATGTGTTCTTAAGAAGCAAAATAAAGGGTCCCGTTCGACATTCCAAACACCTGAAGAAGGCCGGAGCGTAGAACGTCCGAAATGTTGTGATAAATATGGCAACAAAAATAAGGAGAATAGTCCGAATAATGTAAATAGTGTAGATAATACCTCATCTCAGAAATATAAACACATCGGTCAACTTATTTAGAAACTGAAAAGGTTTCTTTCTGAAGTGCATTGATGAAAAAGTGATCTCGCAATGCACACGAAAAATACTTATCACATTCCATTTTTCCAACACACACATGCGATATCCTAAATGCATCTGCTGAAGAACTAGAAGTATTGGGGAAACTAACCATTAACAAAGCCAGTACTGCTGGAATGCAGCTCCACAAAAAGTACGTTGAAACAAAGGCTGGAAATGGCTCAACTACACCAAACTATTAAACAAATGAGTGACAATCAAAACAACAAACAGAGACAAACATTCATTAACCTTTGCAGCCACAACAAATGGAAATATGTTGGAAATCCTAATCTAGCAGAAGATTTATCGCATATAACGCTTTCCAATACAGAAGGAGAAGACCTCAGCTTCGGTTTAAAATTTGCCACTGAAATCCACAAATGATAAATAGTAGATACAATATTAAAAAAAAAAACAAACAAGCATAACGATTCTGAGGTCACCAAACGTTTCATTCAAGGCATAATCACGGCTACTATATAAAAAAAGACAACAACAACGAAAATATATTAACACTGAGGCAGCTAAATGCACTAAAGAAACTGGTTAGAAATATGGAAATCTACATTATTCCCTTTGACAAAGGAGGGGAGATTGTAATCATAAAAAAAGAAGACATGCATTAAAAAAATGAACCCACTACTCAACGATACTGACACACAAAAAAATAAACGAACAAAAAATAACTCCTGAAACATAAATTAAACAAGGAAATCAGCAACCTAATTAAAAACAAAAACAAATCGTGGTATAGATTCATAGAACATCACCCTAAAACACCAAAACATTACGGTCTTCCTTGGACCCAAAAAACTGGTATACATATGCGCCCCATCATTTTCAGAAATAGTCAGCGCCCCCTCCCCACAAAATAGCTACAGCCATAGCAAAAATTTTAACACCTCTCCTTGGAACAATAAGTCCATCACATGGATGGAGTACTTTTGTCATATTTGGGCAGCAATTGCTCAGTCCTCTCTTTCTAGTCTCGAGAGAGATCATAGTCTTCCATGATACCTTTTGGATGACGAATTCTTTACCACTATCCAACCTCTCTCTCACAAGTGGGATATTGCGAGCCTCTCGCTGCTGCATCGCTATCACAATGGAAAGTGCTTAGACGATCTATATTCCTTGGTTACGCTAGGCCTAATCTTCACGGCTAACACCCGTGATGACATGAGTTTGTATCAGAAGCACGCACACCCCTCTCCTATTCCGCTTTTGAGGAATCAACTCCAAAGAGGAGGTTTCCCTGATCAATACAATCTTAACTTGTTCTAATCTAATTTTACCGTTCTATTTCTTTCCGTAGAAACTACTTCAGCTTCTACTACGAATGAATCGTGGGTCTTTTATGAGGTGAACCTTACTACAAAAAATTAGTCAGGTGTAGGTTTTAACTAGGAAAACAATACATTACATTACTTCACACTTCAATCTGATTGTACGAGCGTCTGAAAGATTTGTAGTACATGAAGTTATATATATATATATATATATATATATATATATATATATATATATAGAGAGAGAGAGAGAGAGAGAGAGAGAAAAAAGAGAGAGAGAGGTGTGCGCTTTAAAATGTATAACTTTATTTGTATTTGCAATACAAATAATTTGTAAAAAAGATTCGAAAGAAGTAAGTCTATTTTTTTTAAGGTTTTATTGAAATTTTATTTAAGTTTCCACATGTCCTCCGTCATTAGCAATACAAAGGGTAATACGATTTTGAAGTTCACGGAAAACATTTGCCAACTGGTTACACTTATGCCTGAAATCCCATCAGTTATTTTATCTATGCTTAAAACTAGGTACATTAAAAAACTTCCCGACCAGATTTCTTGCTGCCGGATGTAGTCTATCGTCATATCCAGGAAGGAAAATATAATATACCCCCAATCTTCAAGTTGTAGAAAGAAGAGATGCTTTAGGGTTTTTATTGTACGAGATCAAGATTGGTAATAATGTTTCTCAAACTGCTGCCAACATTAATAGAGCGTGGGGTAAAGGGTCCGCTTTTGAGTAAGAGTAAGGCATTGTTTTCTGGAGACCCTCAGTGGGGATACGAGTCTTGAGGAATATCCGTAATTGACCATAAATATTTGGAAAAATCTAGTCGAGCAAAACCCACGTCAATGTGTCAGAGAATTGTCTCAACGGGTGTCAGCATTTGAACAGTATCGAACCAAGAATCAAGAAGACGAAGAAATTCGATAAAGTAGTTCCATATGAAGTTGTAGAGTTCGATGTTTTGAAGTGTTTTAGATGTTTCGTCTGCGAAATTCGATGTTTGCAGGATGACACTGCAGAAGTTCACCGACTTGGGATACTAGGCATTTGCTACATCCACCATATTCCGCCGATCTCTGACCCACTGATGGCAGATTTTATGAGCATCTTGATAAAAGTCTTTAATCTAAAAGAAAGTCCGTTTCAAAGAAGATAAAGAAAAGCCATTCAAAGATTTCTTGGCGTCCAAACCTTAGAGAGATTTTTTTTTTTCGTAAAGTCATTTAACTCGATGGCAGAAACGGATAGATGTTCAGATTTGATATTATAACTGATTTACACACTTTTTAGATACATTAATTCAGGAATCACGGTTGATTACCCGATCAGACATTATTTTCCAAACAACCTAATCATAAAAACAAAGATGAGGATAACAGTACAAGTTTAAATATCGTAAATAGTGAAAACTAATCATCGGAGAAATCCAGACACAAAAAGGTCCTTAAAAGTTTTAAATCTGCTTCATTGTAATAGAAAAATCCTGGCCATTTTTTTAATATTTTTATTTGTACCCTCTTACTTCTTTAAATAATGACCTGCTGTCATACCTATAATTGTTATTGCAATATTTTGTTAAAGATATTGCAATATTGCAATATTTTGTTAAGCTCAAATATTTAATGGTGTATTAGGGGATTTTTCTCGTATATTTTATAGGTGCAGTGCTCGAAAAAAGCTATAATTTATGAAATTAAATTCATCAGAAAATTTGAAAATCGTGCCATTCCCTTGATTTCTACTCTTATACTTAATTATTTCGTCGTTAGAATCAAAATTATATATCATGACTATTTTCAAATAGTTCCCAGTAAAACAAGTGAGAAACATTTGCGCTTGAATAGAGTTTTCTAACTTCGCGTGTTAATGGGCAAGTTTACATATAACCTGTGTCGTAAAAGAACCACCCTCATCACAAATTATGTACCCTGAAATAAAAATGTCAAACCAACACAGAACGAAGACACGCCTGAGTGGAAGAAGACTTCATTTCTTTTCTTCGTCAAATGCAAACAATTTCTCAGGTTTCCTTCTTTCACTTACCTTTCGTATTCAGTAAGTCGCGTTGAGTCACGAAAGCCCTTGGCGAAAGGATTGCTATCAATCTTTAGCTTGGTAATCTGCAAGAAAGAAGAGAGGTGTGTTAACGTTTGCTATACGAGACTCGACGAGAACACGTCATTTGAATTTCGTTGAGGCACACACTGAACACGAACATCGTTGTCAAATTCGTACAATAAACCCAGTAAAAATCGAACCGCCATTTTTTTTAATATCATCTTTTAGATGCTGTTGAGATAAATTCAACAGTCCTTTCATCGAACGAACTATTTTTAGAATTACTTTTCTTCTCCGTTTTTTGTTCTTCCTTCGTCGCTTGTTGCAACAAAAACGATTTTCTGCATAGGCATGGCTATGAGACAATCGATACATCAATAGTATGATACATAAATATCACTTCAGTGATATTCTTAAATAGTTGTCTCTGTAATTCGAATATCCACTTGAAAGCTTCCAAGACCGAAGGTATAATAATAAAACAGTATAAACCCTTGTGCAAATTAATTGAAACAAAAGAAATAATTCCGTTATTATTTACATTTTTCCGTATTTTTCCAATGGAACATGACCCAGAGTAAGTTTGTACTTCGTATGTCCATTCCACGAAGTCGTTCCTTCCAGATTAACCACAGATTCTCAATTTAAATCAAGAAAATTTCCCGTCCAGTCTATAGTACTTTGATTTGCTCACTGGTAAGGCTTGCCAGTGTGTTCGTATAGCATTACAATTTTTGTACGCTTCCTTAGAGTAATGTCCATCGCAGACATTAGCCGTAGGATAAGTAATCGACTGTCGAAACAGTATTGACTGGGCGTGATGAAAATCTGATGCAATCACGGATGACGAAATATTTTTCAAGGCCAAACAAATTTCATCATACACTCCGAAAAGAGATTCATATTACTGCACACCACTGCAAACGAACTAATCTGATGCAAAAATAGAAATTAATTACATCCTGTCACTTCAGTGGGGCTAAAACTCATTGTATGGTGAAAGAAAGGAAACTAAAGCAGCTAAATAAATAATTATATATATATATATATATATATATATATATATATATATATATATATATATATATATGGAATTAATATTAAAATGTTGGCATCAAAACAAATTCATATTTCCATAATATAGGGTTTACTTCATTAGCTATTATGTTTCTCTAACTCTTCAAATGTTGAATGTATAACTAATTCTAATATATATTTTCCCATCTTTACACTATATTAAATATAATTTTTAAATTGTACCCTGTTCTAAGAACTCTCTTTCAATTTAGCACTTACATCTCTTTATCTATCTATATATTTTTAGGCTTATTTTTAAATATAATTCTGTATTTTTAAGAATAATTTTGTATTTTCAAGTATAACTTCATATTTTTAAATATAATTTGTTTTTAGATATAACTTATTTTTAGCTGTAATTTTTTTTATTTTAATTTATTTCATTATAATTTTATTTTTAAATATATAATTTATTCTATATTATATTATATTATATTTATTTCTAAATATATTTTTATTTTTAAATGTAACCTATTTATTCTACATTGAATATAACATATTTAAATATAATTTTATTTATTTTTAAATATAAACCATTTAAATATACTTATGTTTAAATGTAACTTATTTAAATATATTTTAATTTTAAACATAACTTGTTTCTGGAATACGTTTCAAAGATAACTTTATCTATATATTTAAAAAAAATTTAAACCCCTTTTTATTCCGTTCTTAGTTTTAAATTAATATTCCATTCTTCATATAACCTCAATTTAATGTCATAGGGTTAATTTCACGATTTAATTTTATAAAACCTTTTCCCTTTAAGACAAATATCATCCACCCTCCCCTGACCACTGACTCGTGCTTTTTGTCTGAATGCAACAGCTTTCACAGTTAAATTTCTATTTCCGACACAAACTCAGTCTATATCGGGGTTGATAAGACTGTCGAAACATATTTTCGTCCGTCGAAATAAGCCTTATTCCCCTTATAAGGAAATTTGGGATTTTTACTGTATATATATATATATATATATATATATATATATATATATATATATATATATATATATATATATATATATTAGAAATATTAAACATTTTGTGTATGATAAATGTTATATTGATGAGAAAAGTTGTCAATTTCAGTGATAGGCGTTTTGTAAATACACAAGTGTATAATGAGTTCAGCGCCCAGTGTTTCATGCTTGTACGCAATCTTTTGATCTGAAGATTACCTTCAAGCCTTATACAGACTTCCGTCATTCGGTGTAGACCTCATTATTCATATATATATATATATATATATATATATATATATATATATATATATATATATGTATGTATGTATATGTATATGAAAGGGAACATAGAAGTCAACACTTAGAGGCGACAGTCTGTTTCATGCTAGATGCAATCGTCAGCACTCGTGGCCTGACGATTGCGCCAAGCATGAAACAAACTGTCGCCTCAAGTGTTGACTTATATGTTCACTTTTATATTTACACGCTCTATCTCTGATATTGAGTACTTTATCCCATAAATATAGCACATCTTAAGACTATATTTCTTCATATATATATATATATATATATATATATATATATATCAACACTCGTGGCCTGACGATTGCGTCTAGCATGAAACAGACTGTCGCCTCTAAGTGTTGACTTCTATGTTCACTTTTATATTTACACACTCTCTGTCTCTGATATTGAGCACTTTATCCCATAAATATAGCACATCTTAAGACTTCATATATATATATATATATATATATATATATATATATATATATATATATATATATATATATATGATTTAAATGAAATGAGCACACTCTGAATAGAGTCTGTTCATATATATATATATATATATATATATATATATATATATATTTCAATGAGTAGCCCCAAAATAGCCTTCTGGCATAAAATGACTGTTACATATATATATATATATATATATATATATATATATATATATATATATATATATATATATATATTCTGAAGGGAATTTGTTTTTCCGGTACTGTTGAGCACCATTTTGTTCTAAGGCTTCAGCTCCTGCACCGTGGAACTAGTTTCACTTTATCGAGCGCTTTTTGCTCTACTGGCCAGGCTTTACAGGTGGGAAATATTTATTTTGCTGTTTTGCCATTTTAGACCTTGGCTAGATGATTTAAACCTTCCCTCCAACCCCAACGTTCGGTTTTGGTTTCCTTGTCAAATTGAACTCGCCAGGTGATATATAGGGCATTCATCGTATTACAAGTCACTGGCTACCTGACGATCGAGTAGTTAGGCAGCTGGAGATGGCCGCGTGCTCAGCAGTTAGCTGTTGTCGAACTCTCTGCCTCCAGGCACAGAGGAACCCGGACGAGCCTATGCTGAAAGGCAGTGTCTCGTACGGGGTGGTCGACAAACCCGACTGCGTTTATGCAGGGTCTACGGATAATTTTTGGCCGAGCCTATAGGCTCAGATTGCCTGACATTAAATTCGGCTTTGTGTCATATCTCGTGGGGAGTTCGGTAAGTATTACTGGCTACATGATTATCGTGTGCAAACACATGAAATTAATGCCCAGTCATTGCCGACCTGGTTTTGATTATATATATATATATATATATATATATATATATATATATATATATATATATATATATATATAAAGTAATCCTAACGAGCCTGGCAAACCTACCTAGGTTTCTCATAAACGGATCTTCAGAGTAAAGCCGGCTAGAGAGAAAATTACGGAACAGTATTTATTGATAAAACCAAAATAAACATAACGAATTGACAAAAAAATAAAATAAAATAAAATAAAAAAATAATAAATAAGACAAACAATGAGGGGTATGCTACTTTATTGATCAGCCAGCGACGAAAAAATGACAAAAAAAAAAACAAAACAAAACAAAACCTCCATTCTAATAAGCACCCTTTACTATGTCTACACATGCTAAGAATTTCCGATTTTTGGTTTAATAAATTTTTAGGTTCCTTATGGGTAGCGATAGTTAGTTTTACTTCATAAATAGAGAACAAAACTTATCACCTGCATTATATTTATAACTTTTTTTTTAATATTTCCGATTTCAAAACGGGATCATTGCTATCTTCTTGTTTAGTCTTCCATATATATGTCGACAGGTTAGTAATATGTTTATAGGCTTTTGTAATAACGTTGTTTGAAACTGCTCTGGGTGGATCCTATGTAAACTTTAGGGTTGTTATCAGTATTATTCAATTTATTTCTATGTAGCTTGACTTGGTAGATCACGCACACTTGTCGGCCCCTGTCCTCTCGAGGACAGGTATCCTTATTCCTACAATTACACTTGGTGGGGGTACCATTGATATATATATATATATATATATATATATATATATATATATAAAATATAAGGTAAACCTACTTAGGTTTCACCTACGTGGAAGGTTTGCCTGGCTCTTTACGTTCATAGTTAGATTTTCTCTATTTAGTGTATTGAACACTTTATTTAGTTACTTTTGCTTTACTCGTTTTGGAGGTCTTTTTCTTTGGACTCTGAGCTTGGATTCTGGACGATTGTTTTCGCCTCAATTTCATATTCTTAGTTCTTTTCTTTTTTATCCCTTATTTTTCCTTGTGTGTGAGTTTGTTCATTTACAAGCTAAAACATTTATAGTTTTTCAGAGGAGTATAATTACTTATATTTATAATATTGTTTTTTTATTATAATATATATATATATATATATATATATATATATATATATATATATATATATATATATATATATATATATATACACAGCAAATAATAAACATCTTGCGTTTTCTAAATTCATTAATCGTTTTCTTAAAATGCGAAGGAACTTTCGAGAATAAGATTGTAGGAATTAGGTTCAACTTTTCGACTCACATCGGTCATCATCCGGATTGAGAGAAACTAAAAAAAGTATTTCACGCAGCGCATTTTTTTAAATACGTCGTTATATTTTGTTTGAAAGTACCAATATCATCTAATGATGTGTAATATTTTCTTTTATTTATTC